ATAAGGTAAAAGTAGAGTGACAAGATGAAATATATTAATTACCACAAACATTCGAGCCACCGTTTTATTCTTCGACACTTTCTTAAGATGTGCATGCAGAAGGTTCACATGGTTCGAAAGGATAAAACTTTGCGGGTAATAAAGTTGCACAAGCCAAACTTTGTCTTAAAGGTTTTGTGGATCCATTGGAGGAGGAGATCGCCAAAAGCATGCTAATTATCATTAGAGAAAGGAAGAGATTTAGTTATCATTTGATGAATTATTTTATCTCTTATTGGGCTTTGATCATCATATGAACATTTGATGTATTATGCCCAACCAAAGACAACCTTGCAGTCTTATATTCCAGATTTGATACTTGGCTGCATTGCACACAAGATGACAAGAGAAATGTTTTAAGGCAAAAGTAGAGCGACAAGATGAAATATATTAATTACCACAAACATACGAGCCACCGTCTTATTCTTCGGCACTTTCTTAAGACGTGCATGCACGTCTTCCTTAATACATCACAAGTTTTGCCTCGCATATATCTTACTACATACTATAATAGAATCACAACTAAACAAGTCGATCCAGTTGACAGTGGCGAAGTGAGGCTTGTATCAAAGGATGGCCATTCTGCTATCAACGGGAAGAAATGGCGACGCTGCGCAAGACCACGGTCTCCACTGTGAGGCCGGGACCGAACCCGTAGAGCACCCCCCACTCCAACCCCTCGCCGGTGGTCGCCTTCCCGTCCTCGGCCGACCGCTTCCTCATCTCGTCGAGGATGAACAGCACGCAGGCGCTGGACATGTTCCCGTACTCGGTCATCACCTGCCTCGTCGCCTTCAGCTTTGCCTTCCCCAGCCCCAGCTTGGCCTCCATCGCGTCGAGGATCGCGGGTCCGCCGGGGTGCGCGATCCAGAAGATGGAGTTCCAGTCGCTGATCCCCAGCGGCTCGAAGGCCTCCACGAGATTCTGCTCGATGTTCTTGGCAATGATCCTGGGCACGTCCCTGAGCAGATGGAAGGTGAGGCCGACCTCCTTGAGGTGGCCCTCGATGGCGCCGTCGGAGTCGGGGAGGAGGGTCTGGCTGGCCGAGACGAGCTGAAAGAGGGGTCGCTCCGTGGCCGGGTCGGGGTCAGCTCCGATGATGACGGCGGCGGCGCCGTCGCCGAACAGGGCCTGTCCGACGAGGTTGTCGAGGTGAGTTTCCGCCGCCCCGCGGAAGGTGACTGTGGTGAGCTCGGAGCAGACCACGAGCACCCGGGCGCCGCGGTTGTTCTCTGCTATGTCCTTGGCGAGGCGGAGCACCGTGCCGCCGGCGAAGCAGCCATGCTGGGACAACGTGAAGCGGTTGATGGAAAGGTTGAGTCCGAGGAGCTTGACAAGCTGGTAGTCGTGGCCGGGCAAGTCGAAACTGACGGTGGTGCAGAAGACCAGGTGGGTGATCCTGGACTTGGGGTGCCCCCACTCTTCGATGGCCTTTACTGCCGCCTGCATGGCCAGCTTCGGCACCTCCACGGCCATGATGTCCCGCCGGACGTCCAGTGACGGTGCCATGTACGCGCCGATGTTAGGGTACGCTTTCAGGATCTCCTCGTTGAGGAACATGTAACGTTTACGGATCATTGTCTTGTCACCTGAACCATCACGAAGTACGAGCATCACAACCAAGACTCTTATCTAGCGACGAGTACAGTTAGTAGATCTCTGTCTGTCACTAGTAATAACGCCATGCAACAAAGCAACTACCAAAGAAACGGTCGAGAGTACGTATAAGTCACTCACACATTCTCTTAAACTTCTGTTTGAGCTCAGGGAGGTGGTTGCTCCTGGTGATGCGGAAGTAGTAGTCAGGGTAGTCGGCCTGGTACACGACGTTGGCCGGGTTGGCGGTGCCGATGGCAAGTACCGTCGCTGGCCCCTCTGCCCTCTGCGATCGCCGGATCTCCTCGACTTTGGCCATGACTCCTGCTTCTCTCTCTTCCTATCCTCACAAACAACTACCACAAGCCGAGCACTTCAGCTTGCTTTGGATGTGGTGGAGATGGATGGAATGGAGCTTGAAGATTTATAGTAGAGGATAGGTGGGAGGGACGGGCTATACGTGAAGCCACGATGGGTTTGGTGAGTGCGTCGGCATCTTCCTTGTTGCATCAGCTGGAAACCTGGAGATGCGGCAGCCCAATGTGATGGAAACCTAGACGTTATGCTATGTGTTTCATTTAGAAGTGTTTCCTTTCGTTGTTGTAGTAACGAGTAAGTGTCGTCTTTTCCACATAGAGAACCCAAGAAATTACACCACCCGCGCATCCTACCCTCCACCAATTTAATCTTAGGTTAAAAAGATTTATGACTTTTTTCCTTCTGAAACAGATTATATTTTAATTTTAATCACATAAATGTTCTTCTTTTTTCTTTTTGATTTCTTCCCCTCAACTCGGTGATCACTTTTACCTTTTGCTTTAAGTTAGAAATCCTGCATAGTTTCTAAATAAAAAAGACGATCTAATTAAATGAAACAAACGAAAAAAAGAGACTTAAGAAAAGAATATCGAGTGAAATTGAAGTTGGAAAAACGTTTGAAGGACCTAAGCTTGTGGTTTGGTGAGTGATCACCATTGCTTACTGTTGTTGACATCTTGTTGTTCTCCAGTAACAGAAGATGGGCAAAAGAGACAGATAAACGTGGAGTTGGCTCCCATTGTTATCATCTAATCGTGTCCTCTTTGTGGTCGATCTGCTAGATATAACATGAATGAACACCGGCCACGAACTTTTCCAGAACACAAGGATGGGAAGTAAAGGAAGTGCCATTGAAGTAAATCCACCTAAACCATCATGCCCGGTCAATAAGATTGTCTCTTAACTTGGACAATATGCCTCATATCTACTGCTTTTACTTGTGGATACAGTTGGAAGTCCCCGAAGATTCTGTGTTTGGCAACTTAATATCACTCGTAGCAGTCATCGGAAACAATCGATGGGCTGGGATTCTTCTACTTAATATCACTCAATAAAAGCATTGCCATAAATCTTCTACTTTAACCGCAATCCTTGGTTTTCTGTTCCATGCCTGATGAATGCATCACTGCGAGAAAAAGCTCTAATGGCTGCGAGAGGAGGAAGTGTCACTCATTTCCTCAGATCCAGGCAAAGTGCCTTTTCTCTTCTTAAGCTGAAGTTTCGTCAATTTAATCACCTACTACTCTTTGCTTCGGAGAGGCAGTATTCTCATCAGCTATTCTCAAGTCACCCACCTACATGTTTCCGTAGGGTTGGAAACGTATCAGATACGAATCAGAGTAGAAAAGGGCAATCTGTATGAAACAAGTAGTGCTACGATACCGATGTATTGCTTACGATATGAGATAAGAGCTTTGGATCGTGATATAAATTTCTTCGCTGAGCTGCAACACCAGAAATATCGAAAGTGGTGACTGTGCTTGCCGTGATCTCCGCGCTGTCGTTTGCGGCCGTGCCTTGGACAGACGAGTTGGTGGTGCGGTAGAGTTAAGAATATTAATTTATATAAATAAAATATAATATGTCATGTTGTTGAGATGGCCGAGTTGGTCTAAGGCGCCAGATTAAGGTTCTGGTCCGAAAGGGCGTGGGTTCAAATCCCACTCTCAACAAGTATCCTTTTTATTTTGAATAGTATACTGGACTGCATTGCACAGCCCAAACTTTCTTCTAAACGGTTTTGGGGGCCCACTAGAGAAGGAGACCGCCTAAATCATTAATAAGAGAAGGAGAGAGATTTAGTTATCATTTGATGAATTATTTTATCATATTAGGCTTTGGGTTTAATCAAATATATGAGAAAGGTAGAGACATCATAATCGATCGATCATGTCATATAGACTCGGGTCAGACATCAAATTGCTTAAGAAGGAAGCTCGTTCTAAGATTACATCTAGAAAACATATAATGATCATATCAAGGGATATAAATTTTTTTATATAATAATTTTAATATCGATAAATCATTGGTCCGACCCGATTCAATTTCGATTGAGTCCGATTTGATTTTGGTTCGAAAGGAACCGGGGCTACCAACATGATGCCAAACGGCTACGTGTCATCGCTTTAGTCCACTGCTTTCCACTCGATTCTTTCTACGATACGCCGCACGAAATGCGACAGCGCAGTCGACAGGAGCCGGCCTTATCGTTTCCACCTGCATGGATTCTGTTCTCTCCCACGTACGCAGCCGCCCACCCGACACGTCCACCCGCCGTCGACAAGGACTTCCGCTGCCACGTGTCTTCACCCACTTGGTGCGTGGCACGGGCCCACACACGGGAGAAGCTGAGGGCGTACTGCAGCCGGACGCACTCCATGCACGGACCGCGGGGCTTTCACGTGGGTGGACTCCTGCGTCCCATGCACGTCAGAGGACGGCAGGAAACGGAACCTCCTCTTTTGTTGTTTCTCTGCAGCGAATGGGTGAGGAGAGATGACAAGACACCTGCATGTTTTGTGCACGTTGGAATCCTTTCTAAAAGAGATCTGCCGTCAGATTATGACTCTCCCTCACTATATGACAAAGAATACTCATCCGGAGGAGAGAAACATGTGGCGCAGAGAGCTGATCATAAAGAAACTTCTGAGCCGGTCATATCCAATTCCCATGTCGATCACTTGCACCTATTGGTAGATGTGATGTTAGAGAGAAGACTTCATGTTGGCACGCTCACAGATTTTTTGGCAACACGCCACGTGCGATCTCTCACCCGGTTCAATGGGTGGGGCTTAAATGATAAGGAGAGCATGTACATAAGGAGCCGTGCAAGGAAAAATAGGGGAGAAACAAAAGGAGAGAAGTACAGCTTGTGACTTGGAAGTCAATGTTGACGACCATTTTTATCAGAAGCATTGGTTGGATTTTGATCCCTCTCCGGGTCTTGTTGCAGGGGACTTAAGATTTCCTCGGGGCTGGAAGAAGCGTCAAAGAATTCGCTTCGAAATGCATGCACCTCATATATACAGCCTAAGGTCATCCAGATGCAGGAACTGGGCATGCATGAGAGCCATGTCTTCGATACATGCACCTGTCTCCTCCCTCTCACGACCAATCTCAAGGTGGTGGCTTGATTCAGTAAGCATTGGCATGCCAATGAATAAAAGGAAGAAGAGAAATATACGATCCAAGTCTTGCACTAGTATATATAAATATATCTCCCATCTAACAATGTGCAATCGGAGATAATATTCCTGGTGTCCTGAAACGATTCTATTATTTCTCGAGAACTGCAACCCTAGTTGAGCCTAGACTGTACAATGCGCAACTAAAGAAGACCCTAAGGAGTTGTCCATGCGACTTTAACATGCTTGCAAATGGGAGCATCCATGCGTGTGGAAGACACAACACGCAAGTATCAACTCCACTTCAAAATGGAGTATCAACATAAGTACGTATATGTACATATACATACATATGTAGAGAGAGAGAGAGAGAGAGAGAGAGAGAGAGAGAGAGAGAGAGAGAGAGAGAGTAGTAGTAGTAGTAGTAAGTAAGTAGTAGTA